AAACCAACACGGATCGCCCTGTTGAATGCTCGCTCCATAGCGAATAAAGCTTTTATCCTTGGGGATTTGTTCAATGAAGAAAGTCTGGGCTTAATGTTTTTGACAGAGACTTGGCAACGGGAGCAGGAATTTATTCATCTGAATGAACTGTGTCCTCCAAACTGTTCCGTGTTTGGGACCACGCGGGTTGCCAGGCGAGGAGGCGGACTTGCGCTCATCTATCAGGACTGCTTTTCCTGCAGGCTCATGAAGCCAGATCCTTTCAGCTCTTTTGAACTACAGATGACTAAGGTTGGGAATTTTGACTCATTTTATTGTGTTTTAATTTACAGACCTCCTGGTCCTGCCCGTGCGTTTTTAGAGGATTTTTCTGAATTTTTATCTTCTGTTATCAAGCTTGAGAAAATTTTAATTCTTGGTGATTTTAATATTCATATTGATGACTCATCCTCCAATGCAGCATCAGAGTTACTGTCACTCACAGAGGCGTTTCATTTCAAACAGCATGTTTCTGGGCCTACACATAAGAAGGGCCATACTTTGGACCTTGTCTTCTCTTTTGGTCTCATCATTGACCAGCTGAGTGTGGTGGATGTTCCTGTCACCGACCACTGCTGTGTCTATTTTAATTTGTCTTTTAACCTCAACAGTTGTCCTCATAAAGTGATTTCTTAAAGGCGAATTATCGATCAAACTGCTGTTGAGAAATTCTCAGAATCTTTTGAGTCCAGTTGTTTCGCTAGTTGCAGTGATGCTGATTCCTTTGTGGAGTCTTTTAATAGTCACTGCCTGTTTGTCTTAGATGAGGTTGCTCCTGTAAAGCACAAAATATCCTCTCGTAAAAACTCTTGTCCTTGGAGAAATGAGGAAATTGTGTTGTTCAGAAGATCATGTCGTAAGGTAGAGCGTCTGTGGAAATCTACAAAACTTGAAGTCCACAGACTACACTTAAAGGAGCTGATCTCAACTCTAAATGAAATGATTAAACAGGTCAGGTCTGCATATTTTTCTAATCTTGTGAGTATGAACAAGAAAAATCCAAAAGTCTTGTTTGATACCATTAATAATATGGTTTCACCTTCACTCCCTCTGGTGCCTGTATTCACATTAGATGACTGCAATAGATTTTTAAACTATTTTGTGGAAAAGGTTGACAACATCAGGGCAAGTGTTAAATCAGCTCTTGGTGTCACCCCCAGTTCTGTCCCTACAGTGAGCCCCTGGTCTTCATTTTCACCTGTCCCTTTAGAGGATGTGAAGGTTGTTCTAAAAAAGATCAAACCTTCTTCCTGCGTGCTAGATGTTGTACCCACATCACTGTTTTTAAAGGTGTCTGATACTGTCAGCCCCCATGTGGCAGAATTAATTAACATCTCTCTTTCAACTGGGTCAGTTCCAAGTTTTTTGAAACAAATGATTTTAAATCCGATCTTGAAAAAGCCCAACTTGGACCCCACTGAGCTCTGCAACTACAGGCCAATATCAAAAATACCTTTTCTCACCAAAATTCTTGAGAAGTTAGTGGCTGGGCAGATGACTACTTTCTTGCAAAATAATAATATTCTTGATAAGTTTCAATCTGGTTTCCGCAAGATGCACTCCACTGAAACTGCCTTATTAAGAGTCTCCAATGACATATTGATGGCTGCAGACTCTGGTCAGAGCAGTGTTTTGATTTTATTGGATCTATCATCAGCTTTTGACACAGTCGACCACAAAATTATGATACATCGACTGCAAGATGAGATGGGATTTTCTGGAACTGTTCTTAAGTGGTTTTCTTCTTATCTGAGCAACAGAACCTTTTCAATGTTTGTTAATAACATACAGTCTAAGACCACTCCGTTACTGAATGGTGTTCCTCAGGGTTCAGTGTTGGGTCCTATTCTGTTCCTTTTGTACATCACCCCCCTGGGAAAGATTATCAGTAGCTTCAGAAATGTGTCTTACCATCTCTATGCTGATGATATTCAACTGTACTGTTCCTTCTATGACTCAGAATTACACAAGTTAGCTGAATTAGTAAACTGTGTTTCACATATTAAGGCGTGGTTAGCTAACAACTGCCTTCAGTTGAATTCTAACAAGACGGAAACCCTGATCATTGCCCCTGAACAGAAAGTTCCTTGGATTAAACAACACCTCGGTTCTCTGGGCTCCTCTTCTCAGCCGAACCTCAGAAACCTCGGTGTTCTGTTCGACCAGTCCATGTCTTTGGACAAACATTCAAAGCTTCTGGTAAAAAACTGCTTTTATCATCTGAGAAACATTTCTAAACTGAGGGCAATGTTATCCAGATCTGACCTGGAGATGATTATTCATGCTTTTATTTCTTCTCGTTTAGATTATTGTAATTCCCTTTTTACTTGTTTTAACAAAACTGCCGTCGCTCGTCTCCAGTTGGTCCAGAACTCTGCTGCGAGGCTTTTAACAGGAACGAACAGAAGGGCTCACATTACACCAGTTTTATCTTCTCTTCATTGGCTGCCTGTTGAATTTAGAATTAATTTTAAAATCTTAGTTTTGACTTTTAGAGCTTTAAATGGACAGGCCCCCCAATACATTACTGAAATGTTGTTTCCTTATTCTCCAGCCCGCACCCTTCGGTCTTCAGCGCTGAACCTTCTTAAGGTTCCTAAGACCCGGTTTAAAACTCGGGGTGACCTGTCCTTTCAGGCCGTAGCCCCCCGCCTGTGGAATGCCCTGCCCCTGTCTCTCCCTGTGAACGTTTCTGTTGATTCTTTTAAAACGCAGCTTAAGACATTTTTATTTCGTCAAGCTTTTAGTTAAATGTTTTACTGTTTTTTTTTTCAGCTGTTTTTACTGTTTTTATTAATGAGTTGTTATTATTTTATTTCATTTTAAGCTTTTATTTCTTTATTGTTGTACAGCACTTTGTGATTGTATCTATGATAAGTGCTATATAAATAAAGTTTACTTACTTAACATTGAGTAGAAGCTGGGTGTGAGAGAAGTTGAAAGATATAAAGTTCTCTGGTGTGTGTGTGAGTGTGTGCGCACCTGTGTGTGTGTTTTGGTGTGCTTGTGTGTAAATGTTTGTTGGTAAAGAAGAGAAAAAGAATGATGAAGTGATGTGGTAACAGATCAACGTAAAGGAGAAAATAGTAAAAATAAAAATAAAATAAAAAGGAAAAGAGAGGAAAAAACAAACAAACAAACAAACAAAAAGAATAGCTGTGACACCGTTCACCACCACCAGTGCAGACACCTTACCGAGCTGTGCTTTACATTTTATTTACAAATGCCAGTTAATTTACCTCCAGTGTTACAAGTTAAACCAGGACTGCTCAACTAAACTGCCCAGGGGGCCACAGTTACTGAGAGCCAAGCGCTCAGGGTTCAGATATCCACTAGTTCTTATCATTAAGTTACTTTGTTTTATAGTTAAAACTCTAGTTTCGTTTTAAGAGTGAACCCATTGGTGGACCGTACTTAGCTCACCTGTGGGCCTGACTTGGCCCGCGAGCCGTCAGTTGAACAGCCTGCTTCAAACTAACCTGTTGTTCCTTTTAAAAAAGCCACGGAGTGACGTCCCGTTCCCTGAACAACTGAACATTAATATAAAGTTTATCTACAGCCACCGTAGCTCTGACGCCCTCAGACATGTATATCTTCCTGAATGGAAACAAAACTCGCCTCCGATCGAGGATCTCTTCAGGAAATTGATTGTTCACACTGAAGTCCGTCCCACGCAGCTCTCTGCCCGACCTCTGACCTGCTCGTTTTGTTTATAGTGTTCAAATTTAGCTATAATTGGCCGAGGTCGCCTGTTATCGGGCTTCTTACCTCCGAGCCGGTGAACACGATGGAAAGTGATGTTTTTTACCGTCTCACTTGGGAGTTTCAGCTGATGTTGAATAAACTCACGGATCGTAACTTCATCGTCCTCCTCTGCTCGTTCTGGGATCCCTGAGAAGACAAGATTGTCCCGCATGCTCCGAGCCTTAATGTCCAGGATGGACTCCTTCATTTTCCTGTTTTCTCTAGTCAGCTGCGTCATCCCCTCGGTGACTTGTTTGACGTGACCCCTCAGAGTTTGGTTCTCAGCAGCGAGCGACACCACCTGAGCTTCAGGGCCACCTTGTCGGTCCCTCTGGAGCCTGGTGAGGGCAGAGCTGATTCCCCGGTTCTGGAAGCGCCGTGGGTCTAGGAGATGTCCGGCCCAACGGTCGTAGAAATCGCAGTTTTAAAATTCTTTACTTTTGATGTCATTTTGCAGCTCTGCCAAGTCAGTAAAACGACAATGTCGACTCCCGGAGCTTCCAATTCAGAGATGGCGAGAATATCTTCTCAAAAGACAGGTTTTTTTTGCAGTAATGATGTGAGCCCAGCAAAAACGCAACCTAAAGAAATGTCGCTATCTTGTGAGACCCTTGTGTGAGGGGGAATTTTAACAAATCGCAGTAAAATAAAATATTATCCAATCTTCGACAAGGAAGAGGGCCGGCACCGGAGGCGTGCCAAAAAGACCATCTTAGCACCAACATAACTGGTTTGTTCCACTTTGGAGTAAGCTGTTTGGGGGAAGAATCAGTTTTGTGTTTCCTTGACTGATGAAGCCTTCTGGATGGAAGGTGAAATGTTTCAGCAAAAAAAAGAAACTGTCCAGATGACCTGACTGAAAATTGTTGGATTGTATACCTGGATTATTGAGCATGGACTTTGTTGATTACCCAGTCTTATTTAAAAGTACTGTATGCATCACTTGAGCCCATTGCAATGGCTGGTGATCATGGCATGTTAATCACCGTGTGCTTGTCAGTATCATGAACAAGTGGAAAGATTGTAACCATTCAATGCACGTTTACAACTGATTAACATTTAGAGGTTATATGATTTCAAGCTGGTTGTCTCTGCTAATGAACCTTAGCAAATGCAAATTACTTGAAGCCAGCCAATTTAACAGATATTAAACTAAAATTTGGTTGGTAGTAGCTGAGAGTCATGTACTTTAGTATACTTTATTGTTCTTTATTTACCTTTGACATGAACTCTGGGAAGAATGTTCTGGAAGGGTGCAGCGTGCAGCAAATCACAAACTTCCTCCTGCGACTAAAACAGACACCAGGAGAAGTTAAACAAATGCCAAGCGCAAACAAGTCAAGGCATTTATGCTACATCCTATAGCAACTTGATATGATTCGTACCAGACTCTGCTCACTCAGCAGACAGAACAAGATGGCGTTTCCCACCTCCCTCAGGTTCTGGAAACACACCGTCTTGAGCTCAGCGTACTCAACGATATCCTTCAGCTGGTGGTGGAAGAATTCCAGTATACCTGAAACAAAATTACAGACCTGTTATCTCAAACACAGTTAATCTAAAATTTCCATCACAGAGACGGGCAAAAATAAATAAAGACAAGAGTTTCTTCTTGTGCAACTCAGATATATTTTCACCTACCAGGAGAGCCATACTCATGGCGTGGAAGTCTGCAAATCTTGGGCATCACCTCCATCAGAGTCTTCACGTACTGCAATATGGTTCCTTGAAGCTGCACAACAAAGAACAGACTTCAACTACAACTTGTCCATAACTTTAGTCTCATAAATCAATAATAAAATAAAACATTTCCTCTGTGACACTTTGTATTTTTAATCTTCCAGTTCTGAAGTCACACATTCTACACACAGTTATTACTCCTCATCATCCTCACCAAGCTCTTGACGACTTTCAGCAGCTCCTCCATCACCACAGCGATGCCCTGGTAACCCAGCAGTCTGCACATGGCTTTAATGTGTGGGGGGCCCAGAAAGTTCCTGTAGAAGCTAAATATGCTGGTGTATGCCAGGTTCAAGGTCTACATACAAAGTGGAAAACAAGAAAAAAATTACAATATATGAGATATAATTTAGGCTGTTTACACGAGAACGAGCTCTAGAAACGTTAGCGCTTTTTCAATGTTTACTGAGGCAACTAAACAGAGAAAGCACACTCCACGCAAGGCCTTGTTGCCAGATAGGAAATGATGAACAGTTGCTTTAAAATTATTGTATTTTGACCCAAACTGTTTTTTGTGCTGAGGGTGTTGTGTTAAGTGAACATATGGGACACTTAGGGGCCGTTTACACGGCGTGTATTTTGAGTGCATCCACTTCTTTCTCTCTGCGGTTCTGCTGATCATCTACACAACACCAGTGGCCCCCCTCTATGAATCCAGAGGTTCTGAACCCCACTTCCAGAGTGGAGGTTTTTCTCTGACCCCCCGCTGATAATGTAAACATCTCCTGCTGAGGCTTTGTGTTAAACCACATGCACGTACGCACGCACGCACGCACTCTATATTTCTATCAACATGGCGGCGGACACACTGCTTTCAGAACTACAACTGATGGAATATATTTTTAATCTCATAGTTAATCTACGCCAGATTCCAGGTGCTGTGACAAACATCTGTGTTGGAAGAGACACAGTCTGATCCAGTTCTAATATCACTGTTTATAGAACGAGGCATGTGCACACGTCGCGCTGCACTAAAACATCTAAATGTGCTAAATAATAACAATTTAATAATAATAAACAGTATTTATGTTAGTGTGAGATATAATGAAGCTATCTGGACATTATATAATTCAAATTATGTGATTAAAATGATGCTAAACATATTGCGTGTTATTAAAGTTGAAAATGAAGACATCAGGTTTAATTTTTATTTATTTATTTATTCAGCACCACAAACTATATGTCACACAAACACTGATAATTAAACTGAACACACTATTAAAAACATGTTAACTGTAAACTGCATTAATTAACTGGACTCTTGTTTTCATCCTGAAATCTGGTCCCATGTTGTCCATCTGGCTCATTCAGGAAGTCACTCCTTTGCTTAATGCAACTTAAAACATTGAATGGATTGAATAAAAGAACTGAGGGGAATTTTAAATAAATAGTTCATCCAACATCTCTCTCTTCAACGTCCTCCTGCACTGCACCTGGGCCGAGCCTCGTTCTGGTCCGCCTGGTGGAAGGACAACTCCTTCTTCTTTCAGGAAAAAATAAAAACTCGGTTGTTGTGTGATCGAAGTAAACACAAGCTAACGTTCTTAAGAGCATTTGATTTACCTGCAGTAAATCAGCTACTGATTATCACGGAATAAAGTCCAACATCGTCGACTCGGTTCTGGTCCACTCAGCGACCGGTGTGGAGCTGTTAGATGAAGCGGTCCCGCTTGGCGTCTAATCTGTCAACTCATCCAAAATCCAGCCAGAATCCAGCTTTAACTTGTTGTTAAGATGTTGTTAGCTAAGCTTTTAGCACAGAGGAAAGGAGCGTGCCGAGGCAGCACGCATGCACATTAGGTGAAGATACAAAATTCACAGCGCCATCTAATGACCCGGCATGGTAAATACAGCGGATTTGGGAGGGCAGGGGGGATTCCTGTGGATGCATGTAAACACCAAATCCGACCGTGTCAACGCAGATCTTTTCCTCTAATTAACATACGAAAAAACCTACGTTTCCCTCCATCGTGTCCGTGTAAATAGGGCCTGAGGTTCATAACTAGTTGTAACTACTGACCCCATCACTGCACTCTGCACTCATTGGTCAGCTGGTCACATTTACGTCAGAAGCATTTGTAATGTGGGGGGTGGGAGTGGGGATTCCTCCTCCAGAAAATTTTGAATGAAGTGGATGCCATTTCCTACATTCTGGTACATTTTAAAGGGTTTAAAAAAAGTTAAATCTGGTTATGTCCTCTGGACATAAAAAAAAAATTGTAGAAACGTTTCGTCTTTCATCCATTTTACTTTATAGGCAGTTTAGAGGGAAGGGTCCTCAGATCGTTGAATTTTTATTAGTAATTTTATTCTGAAGGGGCACCACTTGCTTTCTGGTTCTTAAGCAAGAATTGTTTTTTTTTATCATACTCAAGTTTTGTGCTCTAGTGAATTATTTTCTCGTGTTTAAAAGGCATCAAATCAGTAATACACACAGATATGCCAAAATAATCACAAATTTAGTTGATTTTATGTATTTTATTACAAAAATAATAATCTGTCTGATGAAGATTATGCATAAAAATGAATCCACAGATGAATAACAAAATAGCTTTGTATCAAAGGTCTACTTGATTATTCAAATCAGTGGAACTTAAAAAAGGCAGATTTTGGACTAGTTCTGTTTGTGGAGTAGTTGAAATTGTGTCTAAATTAACTGTGGTGTATGTCAAGCAATATTATTGTGATGTATGATCACCAGAAAGGCATTAAAGGTCTCTTGTCCTATCAGAATGAGATGGTCAGAATGGTCCGACAGCTGCTTAAAAATGGTACCAGTCCAGATGTTCTGGTGACTGAGAGGCTGATTTTCCTCACAGTTCACCTGTCATCTTGGAGAGACAAGGGTCCATATGGGAGTCAGCTGGGATTTTTCCACTCTGCGGTGCGATAGCTCTGGTAACAAATCTCAGGTTAATGCCAGGTTCTGCTTCTGGTTCTGACGGGGTTTCCAGAAAAGGCTGCTTCTCTGGTCCTCTTTCTCCCTAGGACATCTCACTAGGAGGAAGTTTTTTCTCTGAAGTTTGTTCGAAGTTCAATGGCTTGAAGAAGATGTGATGACGTAGAGTGGAAGCATAAGTGAAGAAGTGAAACTTAACCATCTGTGTGTTACAGATTGACTTTGGTCCACACCTCAGAAGAGGGAGGGTTCTAACTCTTTGTCATGTTTGATAAACTCTAATGTCCATTTTCTTGGTCTGCCTTTAAAAAGTCACTCTTCTTTTAAAAAGAGGAAAACAATACAATTGATTATCTTAAAGAGAGGTTACTTAAACAGACATTTTCATAAACAAACATTCAGTTCTGAAGCTTTTGAAACAACATGCAATGTTCATCCAAAAGGTGTCGCTGTTCATCTCCTGAAAAGAAAATGTCATTATAAACAAAGGGTTCTTTTAAAATGTTATCTCCATGGGAAACCATCCTGGGAGTAATACTCCTCTAGCGAATTCAGATGTTCCTAAGCTCCGAGGTCAGTTGAACCACAAGCTCTCAATAAAACGAAAATGAGTTCATATTGAAAGTGGTTAACACAGTAACTGTTTTTTTTAAATACATTCACATTAGTGTCAACTAAGTTAGTGCTGGGTTGAGCACCAGTAAAGCAAAGTCTGTTTGTTCCCAAGGGAATAGATGCATCTTATTTTAAACAGTTCAAAACACAAAACACATGAATGGCGTTTGAGATGAGGTGAACTGTTTCTGTTTAAACTGAGGTGAACTGTTTCTGAGGTGGTGTTCTCCTACAGCAGATATTATAGGCAGAAACATGGGTGTGCTATGGGGTCTCCAGTTTCTCCTATTGTTGCCAACCTGTACATGGAGGAGGTAGAAAAGAGAGCCATGACATCCTTTTAAGGGACACCACCAAGTCATTGGTTCAGATATGTTGATGACACCTGGGTTAAAGTTAAATCTCAGGAAGTCCAACATTTTACTGACCACATCAACTCTGTGGATAAATACATCAAGTTCACATGAGAAAATGTAAAAATTGTCAGGTTGGCTTTCTTGGACTGTGAGGTCTCAGTCTCTGATAGAGGACATTTGCAAACTGAGGTGTACCGCAAACCCACCCACACAGACCAGTATTTGCAGTTTGACTCCCATCACCCTTTGGAGCACAAGTTAGGAGTCATCAGGACTCTGTACCACAGAGCAGACAGCATCCCCACTAGCTCGGGAGCCAGGCAGAAGGAGAAATCCTACACAAGACAGGCTCTAGAGCAATGTGGATATCCTAACTGGGCCTTCCTGAAAGCAGAGAAGAAACCCAAACAGGACTCCAGTCAGCCATCAGGTGAAAAGGAGGAACCCAGACCCAGACCAGTGGTCATTCCGTATGTTGAGGGAGTATCAGAGAAACTGAGACGTTTATTTTCTAAACAAAACGTCCCAGTGGCTTTTAAACCCCAAAATACATTAAAGACTGGTTCATCCCAAAGATCCAGTCCCCTGGCACAAACAGAGTAATGTTGTGTATGCTGTTCAGTGTCAGGAGGGTGATCAGTCTTACATCGGGGAAACTAAACAGCCACTGGCCAAAAGGATGGACCAGCACAGAAGATCAACATCATCAGGCCAGGACTCTGCGGTCTACACTCATCTCCAGGCCAGCGGTCACTCTTTCAAGGATGAAGATGTTCACATCCTGGACAGAGAGGAACGATGGTTTGAGAGAGGAGTAAAGGAGGCCATCTTTGTGAAAAGAAACCGTCCATCATTAAACAGGGGTGGAGCCTCCGGGTTCAACTGTCCCCCTCTTACAATGCTGTGATTGCTAGTATCACTCAGCCCTCTGTGAACAGTAAACAGCCATCAGGTGCTAATGATCCATTGTTAGGCTGATGGTCCTTCTTGAGCATGTGATCAGCTGGTTCTGGTTGTCAGCAGCAAACTGGTTGATCCACTCTGAGAAGGTGCTATTTAAGAGACTGAGCTGAATACAGCACCTCAGACTGAAGAAGTCTTTTGGATGAAAGAAGAAATGTTTCTACAATTTTTTTTGTTTTGTTCTGGTTTTTTTTTTTTTTTTGAATGTCTAGAGGTCCAGATTTAACTTTTTTAGATTTTACCACCTGGATTATTGAGCATGCATCAGGATATTTTAAAGGGTTGTTAATCATTTATGTTTACCTTCATAAGTAAAGACAAAAGTAAACACAAACTATTTACTAACAGCTCTCCTTCTGTGAACAGAGCACATTACGCTTCTCTCATGCATTCTAACCCACTCCCCAGTCGACACTAATGGATCTAATGCAGAGCTAAGCTAGCGCGCTACACCTCCCCTGCCCC